AACCTCTGACTCATGAAGTTTTAAAACTATGGGAAAATATATACAGGTATATCTCAGAGGTATTGTGGGTTCAGTTCTGGTGTCATAAAGTGGAAAGGCTGTGAAGATGACTACAATAAAGCAAGTAAAAGTTTTGATTTCCCAGTACATATGAAAGTTCTTTACATTATATTGTAGTCTATGAAGTGTGCAATAGTATATCTAAAAAAACAATGTACATACCTTAATTTAAAAAAATATTTTGTTTTTTAAAAATGCTAATTATCATCTGACTGTCAATGAGTCACAATCTTTTTGCTAGTGGAGGGTCTTGCCTAAATGTTGATGACTGCTGACTGATCAGGCTGAGGTGGCTGTGGCAATTTCTTAAAATAAGACAATAAAGTTGGCTGCGTCGACGGACTCTTTCCTTTCATGAATGATTTTTCCGTAGTGTGAGATGCTGTTTAATAAAACTTTCAAAACTGAAGTCAGTCATCTAAAATCCTGCTGCTGCTTTATCAACTAAGTTGATGCAATATTATAAACCCTTTGTTGTCATTTCAACAAGCTTCATAGCATCTTGAACAGGAGTAGCTTTCATTGCAAAAAACCATTCTCTTTGTTTATCCATGATAAACAATTCCTCATCCATTAAAAATTTTAGCATGAGAATGCAGCAATTCAGTCACATCTTCAGGCATCACTTATTCTAGTTCCCTTATTACTTCCACCATATGTGCAGTTACTTCTTCAACTGAAGTACTGACCACTCTCAAAGTCATCCATGAGGGTTGGAATCAACTTCTTCCAAATTCCTATAAATGTTGATCTTTTGACATCTTTCCCATGAATCAGGAATGTTCTTAATAGCCTCTAGATTGGTGAATCCTTTCCAGGTTTTCAAATTTGCCCAGATCCATCCAGAAAATCCCTATCTATGGCAGTGATAGCCTAAAAAAATGTTATTTCTTAAATAGTAAGACTTGAAAGTCATAATTACATCCAGGGGCTGTAGAATGAATATTATTAACAGGCATGAAAACAACACTAATTTTATTGTGCATCTCCATCAAAGCTTTTGAGTGATGGGGTGCACTGTCAATGAGCAGTAATATTTTGAAAGGGATATTTTGTTTTTATCCTGAGGTCTCAACACTCTGTTTTAAGTATTCAGTAAACAGTACTGTAAACAATGTGCTGTCATCCAGGCTTTGTTTCTAGAGCACAGACTGAGCAGATTTTGCATAATTCTCAAGGGCCCTACAGTTGTCAGAATGTTAAATAAGCACTGGCTTCAACTTAAAGTCACCAGCTGCATTAGCCCTTAACAGGAGTCAGCCTGTACTTCGACACTTTGAAGCGAGACATTGACTTCACCTCTCTAGCTACACAAGTCCCAGATGACATCTTCTCCCAATATGAGGTTCTTCTACGTAGAAAATCTGTTGTTGACTATAACCACCTTCATTGATTATTTTTGCTACATCTTCAAAGATAACTTGCTGCAGCTTCTATATCAGCACTTGCTGCTTCACTTTGAACTTTTCTGTTATGGAGATGGCTTCTTTCCCGAAACCTCATAAACCAATCTCTGGTAGCTTCAAACTTTTCTTCTGTAGCTTCCTCACTTCTCTCAGAGTTCACAGAATGGAAGATTTTGTCTGAATTAGACTTTGGTTGAAGAGAATGTTGTGGCTGGCTTCTATCCACACCACTGAAACTTTTTCCGTATCAGCAATAAGGCTGTTTTGCTTTCTTATCATTCTTGTGTTCACTGGAGTAGCACTTCTAATTTTCTTCAAAAAATTTTCCTTTGCAATCACAGTATGGCTGTTTGGTGCAAAAGGCCTAGCTTTTCAACTCTCTTGCCATTTTCAGCTCTCCAATATGCCATTATCATAAACCATTTCTAGCTTGTGATTTAAAGCAAGAGATATGCAACTCTTCCTTTCACTTCAATACTTAGAGGCCATTATAAGATTATCAATTGGCCTAATTTCAGTACTGTTGTTGGTCAGAGGGGTACAGAGAAGCCTAAAGAGAGGAAGACGGGAATGGCCGGTTGTTGGAGTAGTTGGAACACACACATTTATCCATTATTTGTGGTCTATGGGTGTGATTTGTTCCCCAAAACAATATTGAAAATCACTGATAACAGATCGTAACAAAATAATAATGATGAAAAAGGTTGAAATACTGCAAAGTTTACCAAAATGTGACACAGACACCAAGTGAGCAAATGTGTTAGAAAAACAGCATGGACAGACTTGCTACAAATCTTCAATTTGTAAAAAACAAACAACAAAAGACCCCACAGTATCTGCAAAGAGTAATGAAATGAACCACAATAAAACAAGGTTTATGCGTTTCCTCATACAAATTAATAAAGAAAAAGAACATGAGAGAATATAACATTTAATTTGGACCTCACCAAACCAGCTTTGTCCAAAAAAGCTTTCTTTAAGAGCTCAAATCTGAAGGATGAGTATGGAAGGGTATGCAGTATGAGTATGCAGTATGTGCACACTGCATTTTCCAGCAAAACAGAATAACACATTCAAGAAATGAGTAGTGCCAGTAGTGATGACATACAGAAAATAAGAGTAATGGAAGGTTGAATAGTAATGTAGGCGCTACCATCAACCAGAATCTTAAATACCAGATTATGGTTTTTAGTCTTATCCTAACAGCAATGGGAAGCTACTGAAGGTTTTATATATGATCCTATTTTCATTTTACAATGATCACTCAGGCATGGAGGAGCCACTAAGGGTTTCTAAGGTGCTGGTAATGTTCTATTTTTTGACCAAGGTTCTGGTTATATATGCTACCTACCTATTTAACAAAGGGGAAGGGACTGGACAAAGAAACAAAAACAACAAAAGGCAAGACTGAAGTTACAGAGAGAAGAAACAATTAACAACATAAAGATTCCTGAGAAGGTAAGAGATGAAATCCAGAGTACAGGTGAAGGCATTACCTTAGATGGGAGGAGGGCTACACTCTCTACTGAAATAGAAGGATGGGTACTACTAAGGGTAGAACAGACTGCCCAAATATTACAATAATGTGTCCTTTCCAATGAAACCATGCTACAAACATCTTGAAAACTATCCCAAGTATGACAACAAACTAAAGTTAAAATGAGATTTAGCATAAAGAAGGTAAATAATGCTATTTTTCAAATAGTAAAACTAAGTGAAGCTGTGCATCAATACCAGCTATTCTTCACTGCTGAATAAAGATAAATGTTTCACAATAGAAATTTAAACATTTGATTTAAACAAATATTGAATTTATTAGGGTGACAATAGTTAATAAAAAATATGGAAGTTTCAAGTGTACAATTCTATAATACACCATCTGTATATTATATTGTGTGCTCACCAAAGTTAAGTCACCATTTATTTCCCCTTTATCCTCTTTTACCTTCCCCAACTCCCTTTTCCCTCTGGTAATCACCATACTTTTTGTCTGTGTCTGAGCGTTTTTTCTTCCATTATTTATTCCTTCACCTTTTCCACCCAGCCCCTCAGTCCCCCTCCTTTGACAGCTGTGAGTCTGTTCTCTGTTACATATGTCTATTTCGTTAATCTTTTCATTAGATTCCACATATAAGTGAAATCAGATAGTTAAGCACTTGGTATTTTTTTTAAAAGTTACCCTTGGAAACACAGTTCACTGAAAAAAGGTTCTGAAAAATGACAATCTTTTTGTTGGACCACTTTAAGATTCTGATAAATACCTAAAGTATTTAAAGTAAGTATTTTTCTCAGATTGTCTGAGAATTCTTCAGCAGTGTTAAAAAAAAAAAGGATCTTTAAATTACCCTAAATGAAATAGATACTTGTAAGCCTCAAGGTTGCTTTCCTTATCCTGTATTTTAGGATTTAATTTCTTGATCATAAATCACAAATCTAAAGACTACTGGTGAGGTTCAAAATATGAAACAAAACCTCTGGTGGTGTTAGAGATACCCACCAGTTAAATAAATGATGAACCTTCCTTTCTGCTGGTCTGAACACTCTCCCCGCTAGCAAGCATCAAATAAAACTAATTCACATTCCATCTCCATGTTTCCTGAATTACAAACTGACTTATAAAGTTGTTCTACTTAAATTAATGTGTCCCCAATATCAAAAGGTTGTTGGCTATTTCAACAATAAGTAAATATTGACTCATTAAAGCACAAACCTCCAAAAACAGCAATGTCCAAGGAAGATCCTTCTTCTATACACTCAGGGTGAAAGATAATCTTCCTTAACACAATACCATGGTTCTACAGGTCTTTATTTATTTTAATTATTTTATTGTTGTTGAATTATAGTTGTCTGCATTTACCACCCCACATTCCCCGCAGAACCCCAGCCATCCCCACCTCCCTCCCTTGATTCCCACCCCCACCCTTGGTTTTGTCCATGTGTCCTTTATAGTTGTTCCTGATCTACAGGTCTTTAAACCACGAAAGGAGGACAGGGAAAGAGAAATGCCACTTCTGACCACCTTCTAGTCTTAATAGATTTTTTCCCATCATTTCCCAGAATTAAATTTTCCTTCACTTTTTAATTAATTCAAAATGTCTTGCCTAGTCCTCCCATTACATTTCCTGTAAATACTTCAATTTATTTATAATGGAAATTAAATGTTTTAACCACATCTTCCCAGTGTTACATTGCAATATATTCCAATAAACTCAATCCAATAATACACTCCTTTCTAGTTTCCTGAACTGATAACTACCATCATGAAACCAATGCTATTTCTTCTTTCATGAAGTCTTGCCTATTCTAACAAAATTCCATCTGAATTCACGTTTAGAAACAAAGAAAAAAACCAAAAACTACTCTTAAGAAATAATAAAAAAACAGACAAGATCCAATTCTTCAATTTTTAAAATTAACCAAACAAAATGAGGCAAATACTCAACAGTAAAAATTCTCCATCTATAAAGGGTTTTCCCTGTAAAACCTAATTAATTCAATGTATTATTTATATAACAAATTAAACTTTATAACAAATTATATTTATAACAAATTAAAACTTATTGTTTTTTAATTTTGGAAAATTAACAACATAAACAAAGGGAAAAAGCTCTCAATTCTTCAGAAAATGAGAAAACTGACATTATTTCTATGACTTCTACTACTATTACACTTAAGTGGACATTTAAAAAGACCACTTACAAATAGAGTTGATTTACTTTAGGAAATACTGCCTCAAAATTAATCAGCAAAACAGCTTATGTAATTTGACAATCCATTTATTGACTACTACACATTTTAATGCTATTTATTATCAGAAAATATTAAATGTGCAATACATTTATGAATATTGATTTTACACATTAAAGCACAAGGATATATAAAAATTCAAAAGATGTTGAAATGATTATCAATTATATCAATATTCTTTTAGAAAACATTTAGACACTAAATTGTATAAACCCCTTTTAATCTTGACTTCAAAAAATATATTCTAAATAAATGGCCACTTACAATTTCTTGTACACAACTTTATTGATAAACTAACATACCTTTTAACTCTGTAAATCAAAGGTAAAGATGCATTCTTCATTGAAATTTCTTTCCTACCTTAGAAAACTAAAAACTGTAGTTTAAAAGATAAAATGGGATATAATGAGGAATATATGTGGGAGATCTGAATCTCAGTTTCATCTCTCCCTAAAGAAATTACATTGGATAGGTTACTTAATCTCTGTAAGTTGTTTCCTCTTTATAAAACACTTATAGATTGTTATGAAAATCAGACTGTAACAATTACATTAAATAAATAAATGGCAGCTACCTAAATGAATATTATTAAATTAAGACTTGCTACCATTAACTTCCTATTGATTATTGTAACAACACTGCAGAATATGAAGACCCACCTGCAGAAGTTGAACTCAAAATTGCTATCAGCTTTCCTTCAAAATCATTCAGTTCTTTAAGAAGGCCAGATTGTCCTGGCTGATGTAGCTCAGTGGATTGAGTGTAGGCTGCGAACCGAAGAGTTGCTGGTTCAATTCCCAGTCAGGGCAAGTGCCTGGGTTGCGGGCCAGATCCCCAGTAGTGGGCATGTGAGAGGCAACCACACATAGGTATTTCTCTCTTTCTCCTTCCCTTCCCCTTTCTCTAAAACTAAATAAAAATTTAAAAAAAAAAGAAAGAAAGAAAAAGGGCAGATTGGAGAATCATGGTAAAATAGTGATTCTCATGATAGTGTATTTCAAACAACTTAACTAGTCTGTCTTCATGATGCTTAAGTGCTATAAAAGAATCTTCTTCTTAAATCCATATATCCAAATACTACACCATGTTTAGGGGGTTCCTAACAAATGAACATTGATAGAATTTTATAAATCTTTCCGAGTACTTTCATATCAAAGTTCTATCTAAACAACGGGGTCAGGAAACTACCCACAAAGCTGTGGTCTATAAGTTTAACATGGTTAAATAAGGTTCATAAGAAACAATAAATTCAGTGGAACATAGGAGGAAAAAAATTACCTCCATTCTGTCAGTCACTTACCATCCATCAACTTCATTAAAAGTGTTACAAGGTTGGCTGAGCAGAGAATATAAAAACAAAATGTGTACAAAAAAAGACTATGAAAAAAACACAATTTCTAATATTATTAAGATAAAAAAAGAAAGAAGGAAGAAGAATTAAGGGAATAATCCACAATCCCTTCCCAAATCAAATTTTCTCTCATTTTGTTATACTAAAAAACCTGATGAGTTCAGAATTACAACTGAAGAGACAGAAACAAAATTTTACAATTATAAGCACTAGTTGTAGATGAACCAACCCCAAGCATAGTAAAACTTTAGTTTTATATGCCCTATTTGAGAAACCAGTTAAAACTGCAAAACAAGAAAATAATCCAAATAGTATTTTTTGATTAACTCTACTAAACTTGAACACATTTTAATCACAAGCAAATAAATTATTCTTATTTCTTCCCCTTAATTAATAATAAAATTGAGAGCAAAAGCCCAATGGCTCATCAAAGGCTCTCAATCTTCCCATTAATTTACAAGAAGTGCAACATGGAAATGTGAACTGGACAGCACTCCTAGATGAAGTCTTTAGTTACTCATCAAGTAGGTATAATGTTTGTATATAGTTCTAATTTAGGGGAGACTATGGCTGGGTCCATGCAAAATAAAAATAATCTATTTTACTCATATTTAAATTTAAGACAGCTTATTGAACTTACTGGTTTCTATATTGGGAAGTGTTTTATATATGTAATTACTGTAATCATCACACCTGGAATGGGACAGGGTTATTCAAAAAACTAAATCTGTAAGAAGAAAAGGAAAAAGAGATGATTTCTAATGTAAATGACTAGGACAGATTTTTAAATGTATCAAAAAGTGAACTTTCCAAGAGACACAGCCTTAGCTTTGAGAATAACTATTTACTCTTGCAGATCTCTTTCCAAAGAGTTATTTGTGCTACTTTTTCCCTTGATTCTGTGCACAGTATTACAGTGACAACGCATTATGAATTTCCATAGGAAATATATTCAAAATTAACACACATGTACCCAATTACAACAATTATACCATTTGGTATAGTCAATAGACAGTATACATTATAACCATTCCATTACAAAATCTCTGAATTTAACTGCAAAAATCTCGATTATAAATTTTTAAAGGTTTGGCATAAAATTTACAAATCATGCTAACAGGGGAAATGTTTTAGACTTAATACGTTTGGCAATTTGAATTAAATGAATTGAATTAATTAATTTGCTTTGCAAGGTGTAAGGAATCAAAAAGAAGATAATCGCTAATTACTCCTCTTTCAAAATCTACGCCAACAAATTTAATATGCCTTCTTACTACCCTAAGAATACTTTTAATGAGAAAATCTGACATACATACAGAGACTAACTGGTTTATTAGCACTATAATTTTAAAAATAAAAAATGGGATGATAATTTTATTTAATAGGTAAGGAGAAAGAAAACCATCACAAAATATTAATTCCTTAATTAAATCACTCCTTTACCTATATGTACACAATTATAGCTAATAACTTTAATGGAAAAAACAACGATTTACAAATTGTGACCCATAAAACTCTAAAAACCACTAAACTCAATCTCCTCCTTCTGCTGCCTCCAAATATTCTAAAAGGTCACTGTAACAAAACTAAGCAATAGTTTGTTATGATTCTAAACTAAGAAGCTTTACTTATTATGGGTTGCAGATGTTAAAACAAAAACACACATTAAAAAACTTCAGCTCTGCCCTGACTGTTGTGGCTTGGTTAGTTGGGTATCGTTTGGCAAAGCAAAAGGTCACTGGTTCAATTCCCAATCAGGGCAGATGTCCAGGTTGCCCACTGTCCTGGTTGGGGTGAGTGCAAGAGGCAACTGATGGATCCATCTCCCTCCTTTCCCCTCTCTCTAAAAATAAATAAATAAAATCTTAAAAACAACACAACAAAAAAAACCCTTCAACCCTATTAACTGAATTCTCAGTTACCGCATTCATACTTGAATACCATATAAAACAACAATAATTGCTGTGAAGGCTATGAAATATTAGCATGTAAAACATGAAAGATCATAATGATTATATTTTAAAACAGCATCTAATTAGCTGGGGGTTTTCTTCCTTAACACATTGCGTACCGCATAGAAATCTAAGACATACACCAGGGACCACACATTTTTGGGCAAACTGCATGTTATTTAAATCATCATAACTACAGATCATAATGCACTTTAGGTGTTGTTTTTCAATAATTATAACATTTTTTTACAAAAACAATTAAACAACTAATTAAACAATTAAAGTTCCTAGTACTTTTTTAACATATGGTACTGCATAAAACATTTTCCTCTATGAAGAGGGGCCAAACAAAATTTACATAAGTATCTAGATTCACTCCTTTTTCCACAGGTGGCACAAACTCTGTAGGCTCTCGTAGGAAATTTTTTCTTCCCACTCACTGGAATACACGTAGGTTCATGCTGCTTCATATCACCTGACAACCTTTTGGATGGATCTTTATGAGGTGCTCTCCTTGCACCCCCAGGGGAAGGGCTGGACAGATCTGTCTCTGGTTCCAGAGAGCCTTCACTATTGTCATCCGTTATCCAGTCTCTCACCACCAATAGAACAGACTGTTCTTCATTTCATCTTGGCCCTTGTTGATAGTTTCTATTTCCTTTTTCATGTTGATATCTTTTGCAGTGAGCTCATTGTAGCTTCCCTGTAGTTTCTGGTAGCTCAATGTGAGCTCATTGAGCTTCCTGACAATCATCGCTTTGAACTCAGTATCTGATAGTTGAGTTGCCTCTATTTCATTTAGCATTCTTTCTGAGGCTTCCTCCTTTCCTTTCATTTGGGAATTGTTTCTTTGTCTTCCTATTGTTTGTGAGACTCTTCTGATAGCAGAAACTGTTTATACTTCATTTTCGCTTGTGGACTGAGGCACATGAAACACTAGAAAATTCGTGAGCGGTCCTTAACAGGTAGCGCAAGAAACACGAGAAAACTCGTGAGTGGTCCTTAACAGATGGCGCATAAAACATGAGAAAACTCATGAGCGGTACGAAATGTGTTAAAAAAGAGCAAATGAAACAAAGATTAGGATGAATTATAAGACCTCTGAAATGAATTTAAGTCTCAGTTTTATCTAACAAAGAAACATATCCAGTGAAATATATGGTTGGCTCTACAGAAGAATTAAAACCAGTAGAAATTAAATACCCTACAGGACTAATCCTCTTATAATTAATGCTGGGGAACTGTCCAATACAATTTTTATTAGAATCATATGTGCTAAATAGAGAAAACTGATATATCAGACTAGCCTGGGGAGCTTTTCCTAATTATACAGTGATTTCTCTATTTGTCTATTCCAGAATCAGAGAGTTGTGAAGAAAGGGATGGCTTCAGAAGGGTGATAAATCCATATATATTCTATTATAAATATGTATATTATGGAGAAAACTCCTCATCCAACTCATACACCTACTATATGGCATTTGATGAAGAACTGTGTTTCAACTAACTGATATATTAATTATAGCTTAGAAATATTTCTGCCACACAGATGAATTTGCAGAAACATAATTTCACCTACATCATAAACAGGTGAATCAACTATGGTGCCTGTAACAAATCAGTATTTCTTGTATATTTAAAGTACTTAAGGAAAAGTACTAAAGTTTTATGAAAATTTAGTTTTAAGTATAAACTATAAAACTATTCAACATTCTCTACAAAATAGATAAAATTAGTTTAAAATTCAATTGTGGAAAACATTCTGGTTCTTACCCACTCAGATGTCTGTCTTTATAGTAACCAAAGGTATTACAAGATTATAAAAACATTTAAAATACAATTTTATGTAATTTTTATTTATACTTTAAACAACTGCTGGGAACATCCTCTGTGAAGCAATGCAATCTTTTTTTAATTTAAAACTACTTAAATATCAAGAAAGGCTCACTAATATTTTTCAAAGGCAAGCAACAAATGTGTTAGCTGAAAATAGTCACCTTAATGATTGTATGTGACACAGACTTGATTGTGCAAGCCTAGAGAACTTCCCCACCTCTGTCTCTCCTCTGAAGGGTGAAGTCTTTGTGTGCTTTTGTGCACCGGTTCCACTGAATTCATTACAATAGAGATGGACATTTGATATTCATAATGGTCCAACATCTGAGCAATCTTCTTTCGAGACACACCGTGTTTATTCCTCCTAACAAAAAAGAAAAGGATTTTAATTCTTTAAAGAATTTATAGGTTTAGAGAGCAAGTTGTTTTAGTGTAATAGAGTGCAGACTATAAATGATATTTTGCAAATAAAATCTTTAAAAAATTTAATAATAAATAAGATAAAATCGACAAGCCTTTAAGCAGACTCATCAAGAAAAAAAGAGAGAAAACCCAAATAAACACAATCAGAATTGAAAGAGGAGAGATTACAACAGGTACCACAGAAATACAAAGGATTGTAAGAAATTACTATGAAGAACTGTATGCTAAGAAATTTGAAAACCTAGATGAAATGGACAAATTTCTAGAAAAATATAATCTTCCAAAACTCAATGGAAAAGAAGCACAAAGCCTGAACAGACCAATAACAGCAAAAGAAATTGAAGCAGTAATCAAAAAACTCCCAACACACAAAAGCCCTGGACTAGATGGTTTCACAGGAGAATTCTACAAAGCATTTAAGGAAGAGCTAACCCCTATCCTTCACAGACTATTCCAAAAACTCCAAAAAGATGGAAGACTCCCAAACTCTTTTTATGAGAACAACTTCATCCCAATTCCAAAACCAGATAAAGACACAACAAAGAAAGAAAACTTCTGGCCAATATCACTGATGAACATTGACGCTAAAATCCTCAACAAAATACTGGCAAACCACATCCAACAATACATTAAAAAGATCATACGCCATGACCAAGTGGGATTCATTCCAGGGATGCAAGGATGGTACAATATTCGTACAAATCAGTAAATGTAATACATCACATAAACAAAAGCAAAGACAAAAACCACATGATCATATCAATTGATGCAGAAAAAGCATTTGATAAGGTACAGCACCCACTTATGATAAAAACACTCAGCAAAGTGGGAATAGAAGGAGCATTCCTCAACATAATGAAGGCCATATATGAGAGACCTACAGCCAACATCATACTCAATGGGCAAAAATTAAAATCTTTTCCACCAAGATCAGGAACAAGACAAGGATATCCACTTTCACCACTTCTATTCAATATAGTAGTGGAAGTTTTAGCCACAGCGATCAGACAAGAAAAAGAAATAAAAGGCATCCAAATTGGAAAGGAGGAAACAAAACTGTCACTGTTTACAGACGACATGATAGTGTACATAGAAAATCCTATAGACTCCACCAAAAAACTGCTTGACCTAATAAATGAATTTGGCAAGACAGTGGGATACAAAGTCAATATCCAGAAATCAAAGGCATTTCTGTACACCAACAATGAAACAGCAGAAGCAGAAATCAAGAAAAAAAATCCCATTTGAAATAGCAAAAAGAAAAATAAAATACCTAGGAATAAACCTAACCAAAAAGGTAAAAGACCTGTATGCAGAAAACTACATAACACTGAGGAAAGAAATCAAGGAAGACACAAACAAATGGAAACATATACCGTGTTCATGGATCGGAAAAATTAATATAATCAAGATGTCCATACTACCAAAAGCAATTTACACATTCAATGCAATACCTATTAAAATACCAATGCTTATTTCACGGACATAGAACAAACACTTCAAAAATTTATATGGAACCATAAACGACACCAAATAGTTGCTGCAATTTTGAGAAAGAAGAGTAAAGTAGGAGGGATCACACTACCTGACACTAAACTATACTACAAGGCCACTGTAATCAAAACAGTCTGGTACTGGCATAAAAACAGGCACACGGACCAATGGAACAGAACAGAGAGCCCAGAAATAAACCCAAGTCTCTACGGTCAATTAATATTTGACAAAGGAAGCAGCAACATAAAATGAAATAAAAATACCCTCATCAACAATTGGTGCTGGGAGAACTGGACAGCTACATGCAAAAAAATGAAAATCGAGGACCAACTTACACCTTATACAAAAATAAATTCAAGGAGGATAAAAGACTTAAATATAAACCATGACACCATTAAAGTCCTAGAAGAGAACATAGGTAAGAAAATCTCAGATATTTCATGCAGAAACTTTTTTACTGACATGTCTCCTAGAGCAAGGGACATAAAGGAAAGAATAAACAAATGGGATCTCATCAAAATAAAAAGCTTTTGCACAGGTAAAGAAAACAGTATCAAAATAAAAAGAGAACCAACTGTATGGGAAAACATATTTGCCAATGATATCTCAGACAAGGGTTTAATCTCCAATATATATAAAGAACTTACATGACTCCACTCTAAGACAAGCAACCCAATTAAAAATGGGCAAAGGACTTGAACAGACACTTCTCCAAGGAGGACATACAGAAGATCCAAAGACACACGAAACAATGTTCAATATCACTAGCTATCAGAGAGATGCAAATTAACACCACAATGAGATACCACTTCACACCAGGCAGAATGGCCATCATAAACAAAGCAACAAACAACAAGTGTTGGAGAGGTTGTGGAGAAAAGGGGGCCCTAGTGCACTGTTGGTGGGACTGAAGACTGGTACAACCACTATGGAAAGCAGTATGGAACTTCCTCAGAAAACTAAAAATGGATCTGCCTTTTGACCCTGCAATTCCACTGCTGGGACTAAATCCTAAGAACACTAAAACACCAATACGAAAGAACCTTTGCACCCCGATGTTCATAGCAGCACAATTTACAATAGCCAGGTGCTGGAAGCAACCTAGATGCCCATCAGTAAATAAATGGATCAAAAAACTATGGTACATTTACACAATGGAATTCTATGCAGCAGAAAGGAAGAAGGAGTTCCTACCCTTTGCAACAGCATGGATGGAGCTGGAAAGCATTATGCTAAGCGAAACAAGCCAGGCAGTGAAAGACAAATTATCATATCGTCTCAGCTTTAACAGGAACCTAAACAACAAAACAAAGAAATAAGCAAAATATAACCAAAGACACTGAAATAGAGGACAGACTGACAGTGACCAGAGGGGAGAGAAGAGGGAATTTCAGGGGAAAATGGGAAGGATTTACAGGAACAAATTTCAAGGACACATGGACAAAAGCTAGGGGGAGGGAGGTAATGGGAAGGAAGTGGGGAGGGCTGGGTGGGTGGGCTGGAATGGGAGTAAAAGGGAGAAAACTGTACTTGAACAATGATTAAAATAAAAATAAACTAACAAACAAACAAACAAATACTAGAAAACACATCTCATTTACCCACATTTTATAACAAAAAAATTTATACTGGCTCTCTCAAAATTTTTAACAGCACTTTAAAAAGGTTTAAAGATACTGTAAATCAGAGCAAAATGTAACTGTTTATACCTTCATCACACAGAGCCAACTAATGATTCATTGAACCACTGAGCTAACCCCCTTTTTAAATAACAAAATCCAAGACAATGACAGACTGTTTTGAGAATTATAGAATTGAGCAGACTTGTAGGACTTACAAAAATCAATTATCAAATATTTATTACTTTTTAAAAGTATGTTTACTTTTTAAAAAGTTATTTTAGGACATGTCCTGTTGCATTTTTAAAATTTATTAATCAGTGCAAATTATTAGATACAACAATTTGGACACATCTCACAAACATTATGTTAAGTGAAATAAAATGGACATGGCTCTATTTACATAAAGCTTGGGGGGAAAAAAACAAAATCAAACTGCGGTGTTATGGCAAAAGATGTTTTAGGAAAAAACAAAAGCTTTAAATAAAAGCAAGAAAGTAATTACCAAAGAATTATTACTGGGAAAAGAAACTGGAGGAACTTCTGAGCTGTTGATAAAGCTCCAATGACATGGGTAATGGTTAAATGAATATTTGCCTTATAAGCAATTTGTTAAGCCATATGTTTATATTTTATGTACTTTTCTATGAGTTTAATTATGAAAACCAAAAGTGGTTTAAAAATTATTCTTGACCCTCAAAGAACTTTTTAAAATTCATGGCTTTCCATAACTTGACTTGGATATGGCAAAAACACACACAAAATACTGTACATTTAATGTTCTAGATTAATTCATTTTTCCCAGAAAAAGGACACAAAATAAATGTTTACTTTTCAAAACTATTGATGCTTACATTGAAGTTGAGGAGAGAAAGCAAAAAGAAAGAAGATAAAAGACCAAAAAAGAAATCTCAGGCTGAAAATTGGCAAGATATGACTAAATCCACAAGATGCCAAATTTGATATTTCAATCAATTCTATACAAAAAAAAAAAATCAAATTATACTAAACATCAGTTAACTATAGTTTGTGAAGTCAACAGTCCCTCAAATGTAAACAAAGTCTAACTATATTTCATCAATTCATTGTGCATATTAACCAAATATCTCTAGCGTTTAAACTTCTGCCTCTACTACCTGAAGTGCAATATACACAGAGCAGATAAATAACACCAGATATTAGTAAGTCTATCAGTTTACTTAGTTATATATGAACACACAGCATATTAATTAGAAAGGAAAAGTAAGGTAACCAAAGGAATAAAAGGCAAAGGAGAAAGAAATAAGACAGACACCATACAGAATAACACTTTAAGCTGGAAGAGGGCAAACTGAGGTGGGAGAAATAAAAATGGTTTGTTTTTTTAAAAAGATTTTATTTATTTATTTTTAGAGAGGGAAGGGAGGGAGATAGAGAGAGAGAGAGAGAGAGAGAGAGAGAGAGAGAGAGACATCAATGTGCAGTTGCTGGGGGTTATGGCCTGCAACCCAGGCATGTACCCTGGCTGGGAATCGAACCTGCAACACTTTGGTTCACAGCCCGCACTCAATCCACTGAGCTATGCCAGCCAGGGCTAAAAATGATTTTTTTAAAAAGGGAAGTGACGGTTGCACAACTCTATGAGATCTGTCCAGAAAGTATCCAGCCATGTGCTATGAAAAATAGTTATTGAAGAAGATACAAAAAACAAAGCAGGCACCTTGGGTCCTCACGCAGTTCTCCCAGGGAAATCTCTCTGCAAAATCTTTTGTTGGAATCGCCATCAGCTGCCCTGATGTATTTTCCTGAATCTCATTGACTGAAATCTCTTCCTTTCCAAAGATGATTTTAGTTTTGGGAGAAGCCAGAAGTTACAGGATGCCAAATCTGGGCTGTAGGGCAGCTGAGGCACCTGGGTGATTTGATGTTTCAACAAAAAACTCAGCAGGATGTGATACACTAGTAGGCGCAATGCCATGATGAAGCTGCCCATCACCAGCTGCCTGTAGCAGTGGCCTTTTCAATCACCTGCATGGTTTCTACAGAGGAACATTCAAGCTTAATGCAAAATGTGATGCAAATTTGTTGCTCTACTCAGTCATTTTGAATATGGAGGCCATATAGTACACATGCTCACTCAATGGCGTCTACCACCCCCACTGACTATAGTGAAGTTGTCATTGTTCACATACACACACATTCCAGTCCACTCTCCTTGGCTGCCAGGTTACATCAAAGTTTTGCAAACTGTTCTCATTATATTAACAATGGCTGGACTTTTTGGGGATAGACCTCGAAAAACACTGAACTATATACTTTTAATGGGTAACCTGTAAAGTATGTGAATTATATCTCAAAGTTGTTACCAAAAGGGGGCAAGGGGAGTGGAAGTGAAGGGAAAAAAGACAGTCAAAAATCCAGTGCCGTGAGGAGGAAGGAAAAAGGTAAACACAAACAGGAGAGCCGGGTTGAAAGTAACACAAGTCCACAATCCCTCACCACAAATTCTGAAACCTAAAATGCTCTGAAACTGTTTTCTGTTCACTCATATGGCAGCAAAATCGAACCAGACCTGTGCTCATCTGGTAACATGATCTACTTGAACTGAAAACAGATTATGTAGGCTTTCTTACCTACTTAAGACTAGTTAGTCAAGATTTGATGCAGAAATAGTAAGATGTTAGATGATGACAATCTGCCCAAACTCTGCTAAGGAGTGTTATGATTAGGTACATGCATTATATTACCTGTCTAACAACAACAACTACAACAACAACAACAACAACAACAACAACAACAGAAACCCCAAAATGGAATTTCAACACAGTGATTCTTAGGAAAAGAAGGAGCAAGATGAAAGCACCACATAAAAAGGTGATGGAAGATAAAATGGGAGGGTAATGACTTTGGAAGGGTTAGGCAGAGAAGAAGCCTAGCTAAAAAACAAGGTGGAAAAGCCCTAATTGTCCCTCAAACACAATTAACAAGAATATTTAGTAAAATTTAACAAGCAAGGAGCCTCTAAAAAAAAATCCACTGAATTAAAGGCAATGTTCCTCTTAACAGAAAGACATAGTCCATAATCAAAGTATCAAAGTATCAAGTATCAAAGACATGATAAATAAGCAAAGCTAATAAAGACATTGACTATGTAAAGAAGAGAAAAAAAAGATTCAAAATAAATTTGAGTGCCTTACTTTTCTAATTCTTCAGGATCAAATTTCCACCAAGTGTTAGGTTCATGAAACTCCACTCTGTATCCTTTTCCTATGGCCTACACAAACAAAAGGAAAAAAACACAAACCCACAGAATACTTCTTTAAAAAGAAGGCAGATATAAATTGCACTTAGACAATACTTCTAAATTTGGTCCACCAAGAAAAATTTTACTTTTAAAATAATATGGTTTACAAAACTTTTAAGACCACTTAACTGGTTGTTAACTTCCAATTACTATCCTCAAGTCCAGGCAAGATGAACATGATAAACATCATTCCCATATTTTAAAAACTAAGTAAACAAACATACCTCTTTAGAAAACAAAGACAATGTTTTAATGATAAAGATCAAAGTAACCAAAATTCCAGAATATTAAAAAATTGACAAAAATATAAAAACTCTCCCATATCTCATATTTACCATTTCCACATATGGCTTCATTTCCCAAGCTTGTGTATTAGTGTTGTCTATTATAACTGGAGATCTCCCCTGATTGATAGCTTGTTTAGCTGAAATAAAAAAATGAATTTAAAAAACAAAATTTAAACTTTCACTGTAAGAAATTTTTACATCTCTGTATAGAAAACCAAAGCTATGCAATCTCTTGAGTCAATGACATGGGGAATAAAAGGACTCCACAAGATTAAAAGGGAATAAGAAGACATAACCACACACCACGTGTATTCTCCAGACCAGGTGCTGGCTTTGACTAACTGTAAAGTACATTTTGGGAAAAAATTTTGTTGTGCTTACAACTAATGAAGAGTTTAGCCTGGAGTTAACTTTCATTTATAGGAAATACAAGAATAAGTTATATTTGAATATGGTCTGAATATGAAATGAGGTCAACATTTATTGACAAGGAAAGCTGGAACTTTATTAACTGAAAATGGTAGGTTGCAAGACAACATATAATATGATCTAACATTTTGGTCAAAATACAAAGACCTGAGAAGAGTTACTGAAAAATCAAGTGGTCATCGCTCTGGTTGGGCGTTGTCCCACAAAGTGAAAGGTCATAGGTTCTGTACTTTCAGGGAATGTACGAGAGACAACCAATTGATATTTCTCTCTCACATCACTGTTTCTCTTCATCTCTTTCTCCCTCCCTTCCCCTCTCTCTAAATATAAATAAATAAAATCTTTTAAAAAACAGCAGTTATCTGTTGGTGGTGAGAATACATGCCATTTTATGCTTATCTGTATTTTCCAATACTTTACAATTACAAATAATGCGTTCACTGCATCAGGATGACGCTATTATCAACTGAGCTACCTGTCAGGGCACAAATAATGCTTTTGAAATAAGACTTATGTTAAAAAAAAGTGCTATGGATTTATCATTATTTACTGACAAAACTTTATATACTAACTAGCAAAATACCACAGTTCAACTATGTGGTTAAGTTTATTTTTCAATTACAGTTGACATACAATATTTTATTAGTTTCAGGTGTACAGCCCAGTGTTCAGATGTTATAAAACTTACTAAATGATCATCCCAATAAATCTCATACCTATGTGATACCAGATAGTTGACAATATTATTGACTATATCCCCTATGCCGAACTTTACAACCCTGTGTCTATCTTGTTAATAGCCAATCTGTACTTTTAATCCCTTCCTCTTCTTCACCCATCCCCCAAATCCCTCCCATCTGGCAACCATTCACAATGTTCACTATATCTATAAGTCTATTTCGCTCTCATTGTTTATTTTGGTTTTAGATTCAAATGCAAGATGCACTGACTTCCAAGTAAGATGATCTCAAAGACCCCACACCAAGACACATCAAAATTAAAATGCAAAAAGTTAAAGACAAAGAATCTTAAAAGCAGCAAGAGAAAAGCAGTTAATTACCTACAAGAGAGCTCCCAGAGACTGTCAGCTAATTTCTCAACAGAAACTTACAGGCCTGAGGGAGTGGCAAGAAAATATTCATAGCAATGAAAAGCAAGAACCAGGACTTTGGTCAAGATGGAAGCATAAGTAAACATGGCTTGCCTCCTCATACAGCCACATCAAAATTACAACTAAATTACAGAACAACCATTACTCAGAACCATCAGAAATCAAGTTGAATGGAAGTCTGCAACTACAGAATTAAAGAAAACACATCTATCCAACAGGTCGGAGGGGCAGACACAGAGATGCTAAACAGGTTGGTTATACACACATGTGTGGTAGATAAAAATTCGGGAGGTGTATCTCGGGGACAAGGGATCCCACCATACACCAGGACCCCAGCCCAGGATTCCAGTGCCAGGAAGGTAAGTCACCATAACTTCTGTCTGTAAAAACCAGCAGGGATTGAATCAGCAGAAGAAACTTCTAGTTACCCAAACAGAGCCACTTAAAGAACCCATGTGGAATTAATCAGACTCACTACCCCTGAACTCTAGCACTGGTGTAGCTGCTTGAAAAGCACCAGTGGCATACAGGGAGGAAATGAAATGTCTGTCATTGTGGTGAGAGCTAGGGGGACAGCTTTCTCCCAGGCAGAAAGGCAGGCAGTAGCCATTTTTCCTTTTTGAGCCCTACCTACACAAAGCCACAGAGCCAGCAGGCGGGTGCCATATCTGAGACTCCATCAAGGTGGATAACACTGTTTATCCCGCTCTGGTGATTCCCTGAGGCTCTGCCCCACCCAACTTACAGACCCACTTAAGCTGTTAACAGTGGCTTTCCCACAATGAATGGCTAGTCTTGGCTCATGCTTCACAATTTCCTAAATTCTCTCAAACAAGCGACAGCCAGCCTCAGCAAGCCCCCAGCCCACATACTTTTTGCCAAGGGGTCCCAGGCCTGGCACTAGCAATGGCCAGCCTAGGTTGAAAGCTTGACTTCACCTGGGGACCTCCAAGCCCAGCCCAAGCAGCAGGCATTTGCAGACTACTCTGTGGCTCTTGCAGGGTGGCCCAAGGCAGAACATAGCTGGGGGCTGACCTTGGCCTGCAACACCCAGAAAACCCCAGAACCTGTGTACCTAGCTACAAATCACATAGGGAGACCACCACCCTGCCCCTGTATAGCTGATCCTCCACAGGGCGGATGTCAGTGGTCAATGGTCCTTGCAGCTGTCTGGCCTGGGTAAATTCCTCCCACTGATCTGCCAACAGCAATCAAGCCTCAACTACAAGAGGTGGATATAATTCAGCTAACATGGAGGGTATATCTCAAGTATACTGCTTGGGTGATGGGGAGGTTCTCCCACTGGATCCTACAAGGACACCTATTACATTAGGCCAGGCTACTAAGACAGGTAGTAATAACTCTCCCTAATACATAGAAAAAAAACACAGGGAGGCTGCCAAAATGAGGAGACAAAGAAACATGGTCCAAAATGAAAGAACAGTCAAAACTCCAAAAAAAAAAAAAAAATCAACAAAGTGGAATAAGCAATCTATCAGATGCAAAGTTCAAAACACTGGTTATATGGATGCTCAGTGAGGACCTCAACAGCATAAAAAAGATCCAGTCAGAAATGAAAAATACACTAACTGAAATAAAGAACAATCTATAAGGAATCAACAGTAGAGTAGATGAAGCCAAGAATCAAATCAATGATTTGGAATATAAGAAAAAAAAATAACCAATCAGAATAAGAAAAGTTAAAAAACAACAAGAAAAGTGTAAGCAGACTCTGGAACAACTTTAAGTTGTCCAACATTCACATCATAGGGGTACCAGAAGGAGAAAAGAAAGAGCAAGAAATTAGAAATTTGAAAAATAATGAAAGAAAACTTCCCTAACTTGGAAGGAAAAAGACATACAAGTCCAGGAAGCACAGAGAGTCCCAAGCAAGATGGATGCAAAGAGGTCTACTCCAAGACACACTGTAATTAAAATGCCAAAGGTTAAAAGTAATGAGAGGATTATTAAAAACAGCAAGAGAAAAGCAGTTAATTGCCTACAGGGGAGTTCCCATAAGACTGTCAGCTGATTTCTCAAAAGAAACTTTGCAGGTTACAAGGGATCGGCAAGAAATATTCGAACTCATAAAAAGTGGGAATCTACAGCCAAGATCGCTATACCCAGCAAAGCTATCATTTAGAATTGAAGGACAGATAAAGCACTTCCCAGATAAGAAAAAAACTAAGGGAGTTCATCATCACCAAACCATTATTTTATGAAATGTTAATGGGACTTATTTAAGAAAAAGATGATCAAAAGTATGAACCATAAAATGGCAATAAATATGTATCTACCAACAACTGAATCTAAAAAACAAACTAAGCAAACAAGAACAGAGATAGAATCATGGATTTGGAGAGTGTTCTGATGGTTGCTGGATGGGACAAGGATTTAGTGGAATGGGTAAAGGGGTGAGGGGACTAAAAAGTACAAATAGGTAGTTACAGAATAGCCATGTGGATGTAAAGTACAGTATAGGAAATGGAGTAGCCAAAGAACTTATACACATGACCCATAGGCATGGACAAAGGTAGGGGGACTGCCTGAGGGAGTGGAGGCTACTAGATGGAAAGGGGGCCAAAGGGTGAAAAACTGGAACTACTGTAATAAAAACTTTTTTAAAAAGATTTTATTTATTTATTTTAGAGAGGGAATGGAGGGAGAAAGAGAAAGAGAGAGAGAGAGAGAGAGAGAGAGAGAAACATCAATGTGGTTGCTGGGGGTCATGGCCTGCACAACCCAGGCATGTAGCCTGACTGGGAATCGAACCTACAACTCTTTGGTTCGCAGCCCACACTCAATCCACTGAGCTACACCAGCCAGGGCAATAATAAAAACTTTTAAATAGAAAAGCAAGAATCTACAACCAAGATTACTTTACCCATCAAAGCTCATTATTTCTTAGGACTATGTCTCTTAAACTGGGAGCTGAGGTAGAATGGAACTTTTAAAAACCCTATCCCCCTATCTCTATACCATATCTTCCTCCATGAGAATCACTGCCACAATGAGCCACTGTGATGACAGGAGTGTGTACACCTTAAGTGTAAACAGACAGAAATATAATTAAGAACCAAAATAAAATTGAAAATGCTGAGGTAAAATGCAATGATATAGAAGTTTTCTTGGGATTTAGGATTCAAACCAGTAACTTCTACATAATGAAAACATTTATTTAGAGGTCCAGGGCAAAGAGAGTTATAAAGGTTAGTTAGCTAAGGAGTAATGACTATGGTTGAGTGCATATTCGGAGGATGTCTCTAAATACCAAAAGAAATTTAGAATTTGGGTCATAAACAGGTCACCAAGATGCTATCCATTTCCCACTGCTCTATCCCCAATCATAAAATGATAAAGTCTTTCATTTAAAAAAAAAAAAAAACATAGTCAAGTAATTCTCCTAATGTCTGACAGGCCTACGCCTCCTAGCAGTGATGTTCCAAAAGAAGATTATCAACCAAATAATGGGGACATCATCCTCTTTCCTGAATCATCATCATTAAATACCACATTCCAGAGCACTGGAGGAGAATAGAGCTCTTAAGGAAACAATGGTTAAATACTCGAACAATGAGTGTCATTTTCTTAAACAAATTAACCACCCTGTTCTAAGGAGAATAATGACACCTTGGAGACATTTTCACTTTAAAGTATTCTAAAATGAATTTACTGTATTTTGCTGTGTACAATACACACCCACATTTTTTGGCCTAAACTTTCAGGGGAAGAAAAACCTTTCATTTTAATTTTTTAATCCAATTATTTACTTATTTATTTATATTTAGATATGTTTTTGTATTATAAAGGAATTCTAGCATTTATTTTTTAACACATTATGGTACAAGAAATTTTATCTAACAAATTAATTACAAAACACAAGAATAGATACAAGGTACAAGAAATTTGGTATTACAAAGCCGATTATTATATTCCAGGGTATTATTTTGCATACAGATACTGTTACTGCTTTCTAGAGTTACACTTTTAACACATAAGAATAAATAAAAGAATTAAAAACATTTAGAGATATATGGAATTAGTACTACCCATGTATATAAAGCACATCCTTATTTTCCCATCAGAAGTTTGGGCAAAAAAGTGCGTATTATACATGGCAAAATACAGTAGATTCTTCTAATAAAAAATGAGGCAGACAGATATTCCCAGAATGGTGGCCAGCATTTAAAGTATACAGTAAATATTTGTTGAAAAGAGCAATTCTACCCTAAATAAAGTCATGCTTTAATTTCAAAATGTCTGATAATTACTAGTTATCATTACCCAAAAAAGGTAAATATTACTTTTTTAAAAAGCTGGTATTTTTAATACTAATAAAACCAGTAGTTTATCTAGAAACCATTGTTTTGCAGTATAATTTAGATGGCATGAACCTTTTAATGAAAATTCTGGACCAGTTCTCCAAAGAGAAAAACTGTCCCACATAAACAAATTTCCCAGTCCACCAAAGGTATACTAACCCTGCCCAGTACCTTTATTCATTCCACTTATCATATATTCTTATTCCACTAACATTAGGCCCATTACACGAAACATTTTTTTGGAACTGCAATACCAACATTATTTTGGCAATAATGTCCTATGGCATTTTTTAAAAATCAAAAAAATTAATATTTTTGAGATTTTTATGCTTCCTTCTCTAATATATTTGGAGAAATCCTAGAATGTCATAGAACCAATACTAGGAAGTAGTATTATAGTCAAACTTATCTGATGTTTAAACTTGCCTGTGAAACCATGGACTATTATAATAGAGTGAAATTTTTACTCAAAAATATCCTCCCTGAAATTTCTTATTCTGAAAAATGACAATTAAAAAGAAAAGCATTTATCCTGTTTTTCCTGTACATACTGTACTTTAGGGTGATGCTAGTTGTTAGTTCTAGATGAGAGGATGTTCTTAGTACAGAAGTGACTGATCATTCTCAGCATCATTAAAAATGGGATAACCAGACTCTCCTTAACCCTTGCAAAAAATAGAACCTAATGAATACTACAATCTAAAGTTACTGGTAACTTCCATTTAAGTAAATACAGGAGAAAGAGTTAAATGGTTACCACAAATGTGGACAAAAGGGGGCCACATACTAAACCTGACAAGTTCAGGGAAGGCCTTCATGGAGGCCTTACAAACTCAGAGACCCAAAGTAACCACATAGGATGGTCTGAAATTAAAACCTCCTAACAAAAAGGGAGTCATGGTGGGCAGTCAAATCCTAGGTCAGTATCTTCCTTGACAAGGTCAATCTTTACCTTAACTGAGCTTAACTATTGCTTTTTCCACCTACAATAACATGCCTTTGGAATCAGAGTAACCCCTTTTCCCCTGATCCCTCAGGCACAACATCCCATCAGAGGACAAGACATAGTTATCTTGTTCCGCTGCATTCCATCTTTACCTGCTATAAATATTGTTAACTATCTATCCCACCAATGTAAAAAAAGTATCTATGGAATTTATATTATCTAATCTCAAATATCTCTTCTTCTTCCTTTGCTTTCTCCTACCTCCCTAGTCTATTACCAATGAATTTCATGTAACCCTCTTACATCTTCCCATTTGATTCTGATGTAAAATAAGTGGTAAATCTGCCATTTTCCGGAGCATTTTCCGAATTCGTTAAGATTTTACTTTCCAGTAATTGTAGTCAGTTTGGCTTAAATAAACCCATAAAAATTCTTAACAGGTTTGGACATTTCTTATGTTGATACAAGGAAGGAAATAGAGAACTACAGGATATGGAATATTCTACAGGAAAAACAACTAAGTTTCTTCAGCAAGTTAATGATATGAAGGTGAAAGAGGGGAAAGTGCAACAGATTAATAATTAAAAGAAACATAAAACTAAATGTACTGTAAGGACCTTGTTTGGATCCTGATTCAAACAAAATAACTAAACAAACAGTTAAAATGATTGGGGACATTCAATTAGAGACAGTATTACATGATGTCAAGGAATTTTTTTTTTAGGTGTGATGATGGCACTGTAGTTGAAGAACATACTAAGTAAGAATGTGGTTAATTTGAAATGCCTATAGTATAATGTCTAGAATTGTTTTAAAATACTTCAGTAATTATAAAAAAGGGAGAGTGAAAAGAAAAAGAATAAAGCCAATACAACAAACTCTTGGTAACTGACAATTCTAAGTGATGGGTATATGGGATTCATTGTAATCTCTCATCTCTAGGTTTAAATTTTTTCTTTAATAAATCAATTCGTTGAATCATAGTGCATTCTTCATCTATTAAAAAAGAAATTCACTTATACTACGTGCATTTACTTATAGTTCTAGATCAAGTTTTCAATCTGATTGCACATGTGAATATCTGGATAACTTTAAAAAAAATACCAATGTTTAGATGCACTCTAGACCAACTAAATCAGAATCTCTGAGGCTGATTCAGACATGGGTTTTCAAAAAAGGTCCCTAAGTTATTCAAACGTGCAGGCAAGAATAAGAACCACTATTCCAAGGTGCAAAGAAAGTGACCTATGTGCCTCTAAAAAATGTATTCAATTGAGTTTTTATATAGTAGTATCAATAAAGAAAACTTTTAATATACACAAAGCATATATTGAGTCTTAGAAAACATTAGCATTACTTTAAAAAAAAAAAAAACTTTTGGGAATACATAACTATAGCATCAGAGTTCTCTGAATGTATCCAAGAGATATAAAGCCTACCAAAATATCCCAGGCCTCTACTTTACCAGTTTGTATTAGTACACTACAAAATATTCTATCTAAATTCTCTGATTCTCACAACCACCTTGCAAGTATTACTGTTTCTAATAGGTGAAAAAATTGGGTCTCAAAGCTGTTCAAACAGTTTATGAAAGTCGTTCAGCTGATAAAAGTCAAGTTGAGAATAAAACCCAGGTCCTCTGACTCCTACTCAAATATTCTATACCGGGAGACCTGGCCCAAAACAAACCTCTGTTCTGGTTCCAGTCATGGGCATCACCAAGCTGATTAACATTATACCTGTACCCATCTTGATGGTGAAAATAGTCATCAGTGCTGAACACAATGCCATCACGACTCTGACCAAGCAGAATTCTGTTAATAAAAAAAACCATAAAGTGCCATTTATGAAATCTATAGCCGTCAGAAATAAGCCATGCAGGAAAGTTTATTATGAATTTTGGGTACATACCTGTAAGTATACTGCAAATAGAATAGCTGAGGAGCTGACTCTTAAAATTTTTAAGCTTTCAGATCTCAAATTCAATTCACACTTAAATCTACATAGTTGCATAGCCAGTATCAAAAACTTTTTTAAAGCGACACATATTAAAACTTTAAAAACAGTCTTTCAACCAATCACAAAATTATGTCAAGCACTTGTCCATGTTTTAACTTAGGTGAATGTATATCAGGTGTCTAAAATTGCCTAAATTTAGTGTAATAGGTAACCTAAAAGGCAAGTAAGACTAAGCAAGCAATTCATCTGTGGGAAGACTGTATTTAATCCAAGACAGACCCACTTCCATGGAGCACAAACATAAAACCAGCAAGTAGGAGTCTGAAATAGCTTGAGGCTTAAGGTTGTGTGTGAATCAACCTGTGATCCTCCACAGTATACTCAAACTTTCGATTTTTGAGAAATTAAATTACTAAATGAAATAACAACACTAAATAAAGAACACACTCTTGGAAAAAGTCAATGGCAATCAATATTTGTTCTCAAAATATGATAATCTTAAATGTCTAAGCAGTGAGATGAATAAGCATTCTAGTGTCAGAGAAGTCCCATAACTAGTGACTCGTGAAAAAGACTGAGTATGCTGAGAAAGGGAAAACAAAGGTAAAAGAATGATTTGCATCCAACAATAACAAAAGTATTTTGTTATTTCTATCCTCTCCCTCAATCACTAGGCAACTGGATATAGTTCTATAATTTTCTGAGAGGTGGAGGGGAGCAGAAGGTGGTAGAAGGGATTAAAAGTAAAAGAATATTATCTTGAGATGTTTCAAGAATATGTACTTCCTAATAAAAAGTAACAAAAGGATTTCAACTATTATGATAAACATATCTCTCTCCTTTTCTCAGTGTATAATAAAATCGTACATATTTATAATAAAAACAATTGCATACACTGAAATAAAAAATTTTAAATATTTTCACTCAGAATTAGTTCAAATTACTTCAAACAAACCAGATGAAAGTAAATGGTTTAAATTTGTTTGGGAAGTTGGTTTTGTATGTTTTTTTTAAGCAGCCATAATTTTCCCCAAATATTTCCATCTAATGTATTTGGCATCTTATTTGCATATACAGATAGCCTAGAATATAAAGTGCTACAATATTAGCATTCTAAACCAAAACTCAATCTTCTAAAAAGGTTTTGAGAAACCATACAATACCTAATCATATTTAACAGTGCCAGGAGACTGATACCATCTTTCCCAGATTCATTTCTTTTCTATTACTTGATTAGCAGATGACTTTTCAGATATTAATAATACCATACATACTACAAGAGTAAAGTGGCTTTTGTGTTCAAGAAATGTTTTAACCTCTCCCAAATTAAAAGGGGGGGGGTAGACAGTAAATTAATTTACATCATTAGACCAAGTCAACATGAAACATGAATAAATCTTTATAAAGATCATCTTAAATCTATAAATCATAACAAATAATTTTAGCTTAGAGAGACTTTTTCTTCCCAGACAGCATAGACTGCTTATGCATCCTTTGAAAATTCTCTGAGTTATCTCAAACTGTGAAGGTTTATTTGGGGGGATTTATATTTAAAATGCCTGTATCAATCTGAATATATCTGATGTCATATTAACCATTTGAACAAAAAATATTTTAAGAATGTTAGTCTTTTTTTAACATTCTTATAAATTCTACCAGAATTTTTTTTCTTTACCCTCTCCAGAGGCTATGTTTATTGATTTTCGAGAGAGAGGAAGGAAGGGGGGGGGGGAGAAGGAGGGAGAGAGGAAGAGGAAAGGGGGAAGGAAGGAAAGAAAGACAGACAGACAGACAGACAGACAGACACGCATCAATCTGTTGCCTCCTGTGCTTGCCCTGACCAGCGATCAAACCCTGACTGGGAACAGAAACTGCAACCCTTTTGGTGCATGGGAACAATGTGCCAACCAATTGAGCCACACAGCCAGGGCCCTATCAGAATTCTTACAAGTCAGATACTAAAATAGATTCTCAGAATGTCAAAATTTAGAACTCTGAAAAATCAAGTATCTAATAAAAAAAATCAGATGTGGGCCCAATGGCCACTTGGTTTGCATATTTTCAAAACTGCTATCTTTTTGAGAATCTACTATGTGCCGAGCATTTTGTAAGTATTTATGATCTCATTTAATTCTCACAACCACCTTGGTAATTTGATATTAAACAAATCAGAAAAGAAAATAATTCAGAAATCAGGTCACCAGAGTTAAACAAACAGTGGTGGGAGAGCCAAAATCATTTGGTCCACAATGATCCCTGATTCCTGGTACTAACACCCGTGTATAATGCCCTCCTTGGGTGTGGGTTCCAGTCAGTGACTAGAGCTTCTAACAGAATATGGAAGAGATAATGAAATGTTGCTTCTGAGATTAGGTTACTTTAAAAAATAGCTGTCTGTCTTGGGCTCAGGGCTAGCTCTCTTTCTCTCATCAAACTATGAATGGAAAGAGGTCCAAGTAACGAAGAACTAAGGAAGTCTCCAGCCTGCTGCCAGCAAGGAACTGAGCCCCTCAGTTCAAAAGTTCACAGCTGAGTCTTGTCAATAACCTCAGGCGAGAACTTCCAAGCAGATCCTCCCCCAAGACAAGCCTTCAGACCAGAACACAGCCCTAGACAACATCTTTAGTAAAAAAGGCAGAAAACTGTACTTGAACAACAATTAAAATTTTAAAAAAATAATAAATAAAATAAAATAATAATAATAAAAAAGAAACCTTTAGCCAGAGGCACCCAGATTCCTGTCTTTTCAGAAACTATGGGGCAGTGTTTGTTGCTTTAACAACTCACTTTTAGGGTAATTTGTTACACAACCACAAGGTAACTAATGTACTATGTGCTTATACTTTTTCACTTAAGGAAAATCCTGTTCCTTAAATCCTGTTTTGGGAACCCTATTCCCCAAAATGGCCTACTATGATAGCTAATTTTCATGATTTCTAAAATTTCTAAGAACTGTACATTATGTCCGTAAATACAACCATGTACATTTAAAAATAGAAGTGATTTTCCCAGAGAAATCTGACACTTCATGAACCCTTTACCTCCTTATGTACTGAGTGGCCTTGCTTACCTCTAGCCCCAAACCCCTTTAAGTGGGCACTTTATTCTGCACACTCTGAAGAATAGAGACCTACATAAGGAAAGGTAAATCTTTTCTCTGGAGTTTAAACCAAGATCTCCCCCAAAAGATGGAGGGAAAAATCTCTTCTCATCTCTCTTTAAACTATGATAAATTGTACTAGTTTCCTACACTGCTGTAACAAATCACCACATACTTAGTGCCTTAAAACAATACAGATTATCTTACAGTTCTGAAGGTCAGACAACCAAAATCAATTTCACTGGGCTAAAATAAGAGTGTGGCAGGCTGGCATTCCTCCTGGAGGCCCTAAAGGAGAATCTGTTTCCCTGCCCTTTCCAGTTTCTAAAGGCCACCTTAAATGTCTTGGATCACTGTCCTGTCTTTCATCTTCAGCAATGTAGCATCTTCCCTCCTCTTTGACAAGTGCTTCACCTATCCTTTTATCTCTGATCACTCCAGACATTTTGCTAATAATGAAATTAGTGGCTTGTTTATAAGAATACACTCTCTCTCACTGGTGAAATAAGTAGAGTATTAAAAATGTAAATAGAGTATTAAAAATTAAAAAGTAGAGTAACAAAAATATTTTAGAATCAACCCTCCTCCTTGCATGAACAGAGTATAAGAAGCTAACAAAATCTATAGCCCACACTCCTGGGAATGATTCTCAATGCCTGATCCTTAAATGGCTGTGTCTATCCACTGAGTCATAGGATTCTGTTTGGCTATTGCCAATTATAATGGTGACAAAATTCTACCTCTAGAATATTGTTGAAATTCCCTCAAATGAACCTTTCATCAAAGTGCTGTCAGTTTACATTTTATCATACCTACAAAGGTTATATGTACTATTTTGCACTAGCTTACTCATATATGTTTAAAGTCTGTACTTGTGTTAGAATTTAACCTGAGACTGATTTTATTAAAGTGTATTAGCCAAGCTGTAAATGAATAACTAAGTCTCAGCCACTTCAACCAAGTGTCTTAGGTCAATTTTCAACAAATAGAAAGGTAAGGAATTGTGCAGCTTATGCTAAAGGCAAAGAAGAATAAAGGCAAATAGTGAGTTCAGAAGGGTTACTGAAGGGTTACTGAGGATTGATATAAGCCAAAACCTTGAAAAGTGGAGGCATTTAAGAGAATCTCTGAATAAGCAAAGTCCTGAGAACAAAGAATGGACAAGTACTATGTTTCCTGCAGTGGAAGGCAGGTACCAGTCCAAATGCAGACAGATGGGTAAAGACTAAAAGAAGAAGGTGGCTTGAATACTACCCCAAGGAATTTGAATTTTATCTAACCCCCTTATTACCAATACGAAACAATACTATCTTTTAATTTGTACCGCACATCAGCTCAACTCTGATCTACCAAATCTTTGCTCCTTTCTTCAAAGCTCATTTTGAAAGCTAACTCCTATGTGAAGACATTCCTTACCAGAGAGTATGTGGCTTTATATCCAATCCCAAAGAAACCTATTTCATTCAAACATTGTTGACCTACAGTGATACTCCTGCTTCTTTAACCAAGCTCCTCCAAGTCAGTAGTCACACACACGGCTACTCAAGCATTAGATACTAAAGTGAAGGAACAGGGAAGAAACACACTTATTTATATCCCTAGTTTGTTCTTTTTACCAGTTTTAGGAAATTCTCCCAAGTCCCTTAAACTTATTATTCTCTTATTATAAAGAGAATAAACTGAATTTATTCTCTTCAGCTTCTATAAAATGAAAAGAATACAACCCATATCACAAGATTTTATATGTGAAAATACTCTTGTAAATTGTGATACAAATGGTAATTGCTACTGTAGCTTCTATTCTTATAACATACACCTAATCCCTCAAAGAAATATATATATTACATATTATCACTTCCATCGTCTCACACTACAGCTATCTCCCTGAAATTATATTGAATTATCACTTTATTCACCTTCAGTTTCAACATACTCTAATATGTTGTCCCAAACCTAATCTTTTTTCCTTTGTTTATTCTAAAATTTAGTCAGCTGTCCCTAGCAAGATCCCTTGGACAAATTTCCAAATTTCAACTAATACTTTTCTGATATTATATTCTAAATCTAGAAGGTTACCCAGGTTTGTGACTTCACTCTTAATTTCTATCCTTTAAAGAGCTGAAATTTCATCTTTACAAAATCTTCACTAAAGTGAGAGGAATCAAAATGCAAAGACCTAAACTTAATGTACAATGATCACAGCTTACATTCTACTTGAAATGTCTGTATCATAAATATAATCTTTGTCTCATTTCTCGCTTTTAAAGAAACCTTTGTTTAGATTGTTTACACTGTCTTACAAGTAAATATAAAATATTTATGAAATGGTTCCTTGGAATTTTTTATTCTTACCCAAAGATAACACATAAATTTTCCTTCTCTCCTTATCCAATCATCCTGCATAAACAGCAAAGAATTTGTATTGTCCTTCTTTGTGCTATTTTTCACAACTGTACAAATGTACTTAAGTACATGATATTCTTTTTTAAAAATGTAAAAAAAACACGAATTTGATGTATTTTGTCTTAGATAAAACATCACCAGTTCTAACTCCTTTTTAATACATACGAGAGTGGGCAAAACTAGGTTTACAGTTACACAAATTATTCTTGAGTTATTATTTACTGTATTATTTTACATATGAAATGTAAACCTAACTTCACCCACCCCTGTATATTGCTCACCTCAAACTCCTTAAAGAAGCCAAAAAAGGATTCTCTCTGCCAGTCAATGGTATAAACAGGGTAAAGTGCTTAAAATACGCTCAAAATTCTTTTCCTTAGGTTATCTTATTTGCTTCTCAAGTATTAATCATTAGACAACAAAATGTGTCCATTGTCATAAAGTGAAATAACTAAGTCAAAGCCCAACTCTTCTTAAACTTTCAACTTAAAAACTGAAGGCAAGGGCAGTTCTCAAACAGTATTTGCTATCACCATTGTCATAATTATACAATGTACCTATTTAAAGGCCTAAGCAAATTCCTAATATAGATGCCAAATTTGCCCTTCCTCTATCAGAAAACATTAGCTGCTACTCTCAAACAACAAACATTTTCTACTAGAAACAGGAAAGCAGTTATCATTGATTACTACTATCACTTGTGATTTTAAAGTAATGAATTACCAAGTATTCACTTGGTATCCTTTACTTACCGAGATAATGTTGTTTTTCCAGAACCAGGCAAGCCTCTTAAAAGAATAAGTAACTTCTGCAATTTACCTAACTTCTCCTCTTGAAACTGCTGGTTCATAAACCTATCTGGGCTATTATGCTTATCTATAGGATCTTTCCAGCATCCTTTACTAGGTTCACAGCAACCACCACTCACATATGCATCTTGTACAGTGTAGCCATTTCCAAAGGGAAGATCACTACCGATATTTTCACTAAAGTCAGTATATTCATTGCTCTGATCAAAAGTCAAACAATTCCAATTACCATGACAGTTATTCACATAACCTCCTTTTTGAGTCTGAGAGCCATCTTGGGCATGGAAAATATTTGATGATGGACTTGGTGGAGCACTGAATCTTTGAATATTTAAATGACAGTTAGAACTAGGAAAAGGAGGACCCCTGGGTATTATAAAAGAATGCACTGATTGCCATTCATGCCTGAAGGAAGTAAAGGACACATCACAAAATGTAGGTATCACTTGTCCATGACAAGGATATCTGCCTGGCTCATTCCTCATGTCCTGTTGATAACCACAATGCAACTGAAGAGCACTAAGATCTCTTTTCTTTTCTTCTGCATATTTCATCAGATCATTATTATGTCCCTGATCATATGAAATAAACTGTTCCTCAGAGAGTTTGGGTTCCTTACAACTGCCTTCTAAATCATCTTTTTCATTTTCAAGTTCTTCAATTTCTTTGTAAAACTGGAATAATTCATTATCAATCTCTGATTTTTTCCAGTTAAATTTTTGTTTCTCATCTTGTCCTCCTTCGCCATTTATACCCTTAATATTGTCTACTTGCTTCCTCTTTTTATTACATTTCTTTTTCTCAGGGGGTTTGTAAATGGGTCCTATAAATGCTTTACTTGTGCTATATATCCCATCATCTGTGGATACCAATGGAGAACTTGTAGCCTGTAAAACCTGTGAATTAACGGACTCAGTAACAGCTGGTCTATTACTAAGCATCTTATCATGCACTGGTTTCAGCAAATTTGTAGTTCTGGTTTTGTCTTCCTGAGAAGAACCACGTCCTCTGACATCAATAATGGTCACAGGGACCCAATCATTTCCAGTTTTCTCTTGTACTCTGTGAAAATTAGAAATACCATGACGGAGGAAAATAAAAGACTCTTCAGTTGACTTCGGTTTCTTGTAGCATGGTTCACTTGTTAGGTCTTCCCCATGTCCCAAAGATTTAGCTTCAATTTCATCATAAGGCATCTAAGGAGCACATAAATCACACATTTAATAGCCAATATTTTTAAAAGTCTAAACAAAAGTTTCTCAGGAACAAGAAAATAGAAAGACATTTAAACTTGTGACAGGTAAATGGTAACATTTTCCCAAAACACAAAGATTACAAAACTGTAATTTTATAGCCACTTATTTTTTGTTCTAACAACTTGAGAGGGGTTTCACTGAGTAAATGTTTTCTTTTTAAAGACACACCTCACCTTTAACCTAACTGATGCATTTTTAAATTTAGAGAACTTAAAAAACTTACTAAGTTTGGGAAGCTGAATCAATAATATATATTTTGATGCTATAGATACACAACTGTGTACTAAGGAGAATAATCTGCAAACCAAACTGACACAAATCCAAACTGGCTGCAATAAATTGCTTCATAAACATCTTCTATTTAAAACCACTATGTACTTAGAAGTTAATGAATCCGGCTGCCAACCTCAGACAAGCACATCTCCGGAGCTATCAAACGCCAGGTTAACGGAAATGCCAGTCTTTGTGGGCTCCATTCCTGCTAGTAGTGTAAAAGTGGTTTCCAAACGGGTGTGCTGCACTCATTTAAAAGAAAGAAAAGTACTTCAGCTGCACTAGAATGACGCAAATACGTCATTTGTTTAGGGAAGAACTTCTGGCAACTCCCCCATATCAAAGCGCTCCTCTTTTCCAGATGGTTGGAAAATCTTAAAGATTAAACTCTTCTTCCTTCGTATTTCAAGGGATGCTCAAGAATACAATCCGAAAACTTGCTTCGGTCAGTCACGTTCGTTCTGTCCGCTCTCTGGTGCTGCTCCAACACGAAGAAAAAGGCAAAGGTAAAAAGGCCAAAAGAGAACGGTATCGATAGGTCAGTGGCTCAAGGAAGACACAACTGCAAAGAATGCCGAATTCCAGGAAACAGCTTCAACTCGGCCACCTCTCGGCTTCTCGTTTTCGCAATCGAAACGTCAGAAAAGTCCCAAAAAGACAAGGGGGTTGTAGTAACCGAGCGCGGTCTGTGCACAACCGGCAACCCACGGCCTCCTGACTGGGCGGCCAGGGCAAAAGTGCGTCATCACTTCCTCTGTCTCAATGGAAACAGGTTGGGGTTCTGCCAAGAATTCTGTATAGGTATCAGAACGGTCCGACCAAGTGCTGGCAAGTGTACACATCGCAGACGGAAGAAGGAAAAAATCGAAAACGTCGCCACCACTCCTCCCGACGCACACACACTTGAATTGAGGTGTATACTCACCTTATCCGCAGCTCTGCAATGACCTTCACTTCTCAATAAAACTGTCTTCTGGAAAGACACGGTCCCCTGAGACGCTGAAACAAGGAAACACGACCCAAAAACAGAGACCTGGAGAGATTGAAAGCCCTAAGGACCCCAGCGACAAGCCACACCTCAGCGCACAAGATGGCGGCCATTCCTTGGTAACCCGGAAAAAATCGCAGACTCTCTCTCTGGGCATTGTGGGAATTAAAGTCTGGCGTCACACCCGTCTGCCTGTCCCTGCGGACGGCGACTGGTCTCCCAGAATCCACTGCGTCATAGGCGCGCAGATTTGACAACAAACTTAATCCTGAGCTGGTTCCTGAAAGTGGAGGGAGGAAGTTGTTTAGAAACTCCAATATCGGCGAGAAAAAAAAAATGTCCTGCTGTGGGGTTCACCCCTAAAGGAAATGAGAATGTGAGTGCCTGCGTCCCCAAAACGTAAATAAGCGGCTTTCAGTGCTTTTAAGGTTTTAAGGCTTTTTAACAAAGAATCAGGTTTTTCAAATGGAACTAAACGTGTGGTAATTTCAAAGTAAGGCTGCCCACATTTTTACAAAACAAGCAAACCAGAAAAAAAAAACCTCAATAATTTTAGGGTCGTGTACTTCCACCGTAGGATCGCTGCAAGCAGAACCTTAACAGATAAAAATACTTATGAGAAAATCGTGTCATATCTGTGTTTTGTTTTAGGAGATAAAGACTAATTACTGAGCTTTTTCCCTAATCTTTATTTTGTTTTATTTTATTGTCAACTTTTCCATTAAAAAGTCAGTATGTAAAAGCCGCTTAGAACAGCGCCTAGTAAAAGTAAAGGCTGGGTAAGTTGCTGATTAAATTAGAAATAAATATGGCCCTGGCAGAGGGTAGCTTATTTAGTCAGAACATCACTCAGATAAGCAAGGTTGCAGGTTCTAGTGTTACCGAACCGAAGGCCAGGCCTAGCCTGGCCTAGCCCTGAGAGGGTCTGCCTAGGGCCGGTCTGTAGTGTGTGGGTTCTTGACTTCATGTAGGAAAGATTTCAACACATTCCAGGTGACGATGAGGATACATTTATTTAAAAAGCTGAGGACTGTTAAAACAAGGAAGAGCTTAGCATAGAAGAAGCAACAAGAGACTTAGGCTGGGCTGCCTTAGCTCACTGGAAAGTTGGAGAATAGGGGTCTTTGGAGACAGGTTCAGGGGATTAGCCTGGGACATACTGCCAGCTGCACATTGCCCATTGCCTTAGACTTTAGGAGACACATGCCTGTGTGGAAAGAAGTAGGGGAAGAGAAAGAAAGAGAATGGGCTGGCTGCTTCCAGAGGGAGAGTACATCCCCTGGGTCCTTTGTCTTGAGGCTTTTACCTCTCCTGCAGGTGGGAATCTTAGGGGAGGTTTCAAGGGAAGGTTTCAGCAGAATAATCATCAGTTTTCCAGTGTGGCCTTTCAGGGTTGTGGTCTCTACTGATTGGTCAGTGCCAGGAGAGGGAATGTTAGTCATTGAAGCTGATCCTAGCATTACCCATCTGGTTTTGTTCCTTTTCTGGGCCTGGAGTTGAAATACAAGTGAGGCCTAGATGTTATCTTTAGGGTGCTGACCTTTTGCATCTGGCCATTATTGTTTAACTGTCTTAGTTTCCCTGTTCCACTTGCCAAGGAATTTTCCTAGTTTCTTACTGTCCTGTCTCATCCCTAGTCAGGGCATATACAAGAATCAACCAATGAATGCACAAATAAGAGGAGCAACAATCTCTCTCTCTGTCCCCCCACCCTTCTCCAAAGTCAATCAATAAAAATACATAATTTTTTTAAAGGAAAAAAAGCACGAACAGAACAATGGGCAATGCTCAGCTTAAGGTCCTCACTGCCTAGACCCATTTCCTCCTCCACATTCTTTCTTGTCCTTGCCAGGGAAACTGCTAATCTCTTCATAGTTAAATAAATCTTTGTTGACATAGCATTTTAATTTATAAATGTAATAGTTAAAATCACAGTACTGCATGTTTGCATTTGATTATTTAACAGCCCTGTGACTAAGAGAGCTCAGCAAAGCAATGCATTCTCTTCCAAAAAATTTTCCTCAAATACAAATTCCCACATTGGCATGTGTTTCCTCCTAATTAGCTTCAAGTTATGCATCTTCCCTCAAAACAACCACGTAAATGAAATGTGTTCTTCTCAGGATATTACATCTGGAGGCACAAGATATCTGTCCACTATAAGGTGATATTAATCTTTATCACCTGATCAAGGTGTTATTCACTTTCTTGACTATATATGTTCCCTCTTGGAACTAATGAGCACCCTGTGAGGGGTTACTTTGAGACCAAGCATTTATCTTGATCCTTCAGCCTCCATAGATGATTCTTGCTGCAACTGATATTTATCAGGTTGGTTACAAAATGTTGATTTTTTTCCTAACTCATTCAAGCCCTTCACATTTATTAGTCCTGATGCTGCTATAAATAAAAGACACTTCCTAGCCCTGGCTGGTGTGGCCCTGGATTGAGTGTAGGCTGTGAACCAAAGGGTTGCTGGTTCGATTCCCAGTCAGGGCACATGCCTGGGTTGCAGGCCAGGTCCCCAGCAAGGGGCACGTGGGACACAACCACATATTGATGTTTCTCTCCATCTCTCCCTCCCTTCCCCTCTCTCTAAAAATAAATAAGTGAAATATTAAAAAAAAGACTCTTCCTTATTTGTTTCTTTACTATCAGTATAAATTTGTGTATTTTTCTGGTTCAAGACATTACAATACATTGCTGTCCGTTTATCTATTTTCAGACTTTTTAAGACAGTCTTAGATTCACAGAAAAATTGAGTAGATAGTACAGAGAATTCCCATGTAACCCACTGACACACATACACTACAGAGTTTCTCCTATTACAAACCTCTTATGTTATGATATGTTACAATTAATGAACAAATATTAATTGTTAATAAGGACTACAGTCCCTAAATTTCCTTAGTTTTTGTCTAATGTCATTTTTGGTCCAGGATCCCAAATTACAGGTAGTCATCATTTCTCCTTAGGCTCTTCTTGGCTGTTATAGTTTCTCAGACTCTACTTGTTTTTGATGACCTTGACAGTTTTGAGGAAAATTGGTTAGGTATCTTGTAGAATGCCATCCTATTAGAATTTATCAGATGCTTTTCTCATGAATAGACTGGTGTTATGGGTTTTTGAGAGGAAAACCACAGGGATAAAGTCATTTTCATATCATCACTGCAAGAGTACATATTACCAACATAATTTATCATCGTTTATACTGAACTTGATCACCCGCTAAACTGTTGGCTGTCAGGTTTCTCCACTGTAAAATTACTCTTTTCTCCCTTTCCATACTGCACTCCTTAGAAGGAAGTCACTGTGCAGCACATGTTTCTGGAGTGGGCTGCCTCCAGCAAGTCACTGTTCCTGCCGTAGCCATATAGATTCCACTTACTGGCAGGGCCCCTGAGAAAAGTGAATGAAACCTGGCTCACAGTGGGGCCACATGATGCTAACTGGTTTATATTAATTGTGTTTGTGATAGCTTCCTGTGGGCTAGTCCCATAGCCTTTATTTATCTTTATTTTTTAATATATTTTATTGATTATTCTATTACAGTTGACCCATTCCCCCTTTATTCCCCTCTGTCCTGTGCACCCCCTCCCACCCACATTCCCCTCCTTTAGATTTATTTATTTTAAAAAACATTTTATTCATTTATTTTTAGAGAGAGGGGAAGGGAGGGAGAAAGAGAGGGGGAGAAACATTGATGTGAGAGAGTAACATCGATCAGTTGCCTCTCATCATACACTCCCTAAGCAGGGGTCAAACCCACAACCCAAGCATGTGCCTTGACCAGGAATTAAACTGCAATGTTTTGGTTTGTAGGACAGCACCCAACTGACTAAGCCACACCAGTCAGGGTATCCCATGGCCTTTAATAGAAGCCCTGGGAACATGAGTCAGCATTTACACTTATCTGCCCCTTGTATACTGCCAGGGAACAATGAATGCTCAACAAATACAGGCACTGCTCTGAGGGTGCCTTGAGTTTCCTTAGCCCTACTGCATTCCTTGTCACCCCCATTTTACGGATGGAAACTGAGACAGAAGAAGAATACATTCCAGTATCACAGATCTGGTGAGTCTGATGAAGGCCTTAGAGCCTGGAAATCTGGCTCTTCTCGCTGCCACCTGGAAGGAGAGGGCAGGAGAGCTGTACAAAGGGCATGTCCCACCTGTCTTCACCTGATGCTTTCAGGGAGTCTCTGTTTCCCAGGGGACGTTGGTGGGGGTGGTCCAAGCAGCTGCTTAGGGTCTGGTTACAGCAGCATGGGTTACAAGCTCCAGCCTGGACAGGACAAGTATTCAGCACATTCTCTGGCCCAGCTGTTCCTGTTCACTGCTGCAGCATGCTGCAGCCTGGGCACTTGGTGACCATCACCCCTCTTCTGGCTGCCCTCATTGCAGGTGAGTCAACAGCAAGATTGGTGAAATAGTGGCCATGACATTGGGGTGCATGCTGTGTGCTGGGACCCATGGCCTCTACTTATTAGATCTCTCATCAACCCTGCACACATACAAGTAACACTTGCTTTTCATATAAGACCACTAGGGCTCAGAGAGGTTCAATCATTTGGCCGAGAGCATGTCATCAGTATTGGGTCCTGGTATGAACCCAGTCAATGGCCTTCATCGCTTTTGGGGCAGTACCCTGAAGGAAGGGTAGGAGGGAGTGGGCACCACTGGCCTCCCTCTTGTGTTTTTTTTTGTGCTTCCCTTGTCTTCAGGCCCCCATTCTCTCCACCACCCAAGTGAGGCCACCTTTTGCACAGAGCCTTCCCCTGCCCAGGTTCCCAGGACTCACACTCCCTCTCTGGTCCCCTCGTCCTTTTACTTTGCATTTTTTCTGTGTCCCTGGATTCACATGCAGCCCAGTGGTTCTGCAGGCTC